CCCCGAGACTGATTCCCCTTTGCAGGTCGTCAAGGACAACGTCGCATTGAATACGAGGAAAGTCGGTCGCAAGCGGCTGCTAGACGAGATGGACGCCGAAGTGTCCGCCGCAAAGAAGCCAAAACTTGACCCGAGCTCGGGACAGTCCCCCGGTGCCGGGAAATCCGTCGCCACAGACGCACACTACCAGGCCGCAAGCTATGCGCTCGAAGTCATGTCTTCCACCAACGGCACTCGTACGCACAGCATCGGCTCGATGTTCAAGAGCGACAAGATCTCCTTCTGGTTCTATGACTCTTTCGGCATCGTCAGGACCGACGACTCGCAGTCACTATCCCTGGTGGACCAGTTCGAAGAGGTAGCGGCCATCGTGGTCGCCATCGCCTGTTGCGACGCGACACGGCTGGGTGTCATGCAAGGCGTCACTCCTCCCAAGGGATCCAAGTATCCGGCGAATTTTCCTCCCGCCAACCTCACTGGGTATACGATCAAGATGCCGCTGCCCAACAAGCGCAGGGCACGGCAGCCGCAGATGGTGGTGACGCTCGACAAGCCTCTGTTCTGCCAGTATGCCTTGGTAGGCCGCCACACGACTGTGTACACTGCGACGACGAGTGTTGCCGTCGGACGGAAGAAGGGCAGGGCGGTGATTGTGAAGCTGTCGCAGCAGGCGAAGGGCAGGAAGCCCGAGCAAGACTTCCTTACTGCGGCCTTGGGAGCTGGCGTGGATCATTTACCGGAGCTTCACTCCTCGATGGATCTCTGGTCTCTGTCTGACGGCATCCGCAGCGTGTTTCTCAAGAGGGATCCGGGCCACAGCGAGATATTCGAAGATCGAATCCTGCGAGCGATAGTTTACACACAGTATCTTCCGTTGCAACAGTTCCTTGCGGAGTCCTCTGACGCTCCCGAGTATATCCGGCTCATGGTCGACCAGATGATGGAATGTAAGCAAACTGATCCGCTTTCGCTGCCTGGTGGCTGACCGTGCCGCGCAGGCCTCCATGACCTGCGCCACAAAGCCAAAATCGTCCATCGCGACGTGAGCCCGAACAACATCATGATCGAGATGCGCAACCACAAACCATTCTTCATCCTTAACGACTTCGATCTCGCGACCTTCGTCCAGGACAACGGCACGCGGCTCCATCCGGCGTCCTCTAAGCACCGCACTGGCACACTGCCTTTCATGGCTATCGAGATCTTGCAGGACATGGACACCCCTCTGCCGGTTGCCAAATCCCGCCGTATCGAGCTCCAAATCGCTCACCGCCTGCGACACGACTGGGAGTCTCTTCTGTGGGTCGCGCTGTGGTGCATGCTGACGATGGACTCCGACGTCTCAGGGACGGAGCTCGAGAGCAAGATCGTGAGCTTTCTGTCCGACTGGGAGTCCGGCGAACTCAGCACAATCGCGGACGTAAAAACGTCGGTCATCTACAACTCGACTCGTGCTGAAAAACTCGTCCCTTCCCGTTTCAGAGGCCTTATCCCGTGGTTAAAACGATGGTGCCGCGTCGTCCGGGATGGCTACGACGTCGTTAGCAACCAGCGGCGCTTATCTCGTAAGGAGATTATTAGCGCGGATAGAGAGACATTGAATGGAACCATTACCTTGGAGAAACTGAAGGAGGCGCTGCATGCTTCTGAAGAAGTATCTGGCGAGGAAGAGGAAGAAGAGGAGGAGGAAGAAGAGGAAGATCTCTCTGAGGATTGCCCGGATATACTCAAGAGCGGAGTACGGGTCATCGAATGGTAGCTTCTATATGATCTAGTTGGTGTCGATACTGCAGAGTTCGCTGTATAAGAATCACACGAATGTAACTAGTACGAAGAGCGCATCAGCTGCTCGGTTCTCCAGAGTAGAGCATTTCGGGACCGTACGCTTAGCGATCACAATCAGGCCATTGCTAGCCTGTGAGATCGAAGATTGAGCACCCCAATTCTGGCACATACTGTAGAGGAACGTATGGTAGCAACGTCACGCATCACAGTTGGTTGGTTGCTGGTTTCTGCGCAAGTTTCACCTGCGGCGCCGCCGCCTGACGGTGGCGGTTTCTTATTAGGCCTCAGGCTACAAGTCACACATGACTACCGGCACACTACCGTTCATGGCCATCGAAATACTGCAGGACATGGATATTCCCCTAACCGTAGCCAAGCCCGGCCGTATCGAGCTTCAAATCGCTCACCGCCTGCGACACGACTGGGAGTCTCTTCTGTGGGTCGCGCTGTGGTGCATGCTGACGACGGACCCTGACGCCTCCGGGACGAAGCTCGAGAGCAAGATCGTGAGCTTTCTGTCCGACTGAGAGTCCGGCGAACTCAGTACTACCGCGGACGTGAAGATCTCGGTTATTCACGACTCGTCTCGTGCCGAAAAATTGATCCCTCCCCGTTTTAGGACCCTCATTGTCGTGGGCGTAGCCCCGGCCTCCTATTTTATTTCCATTTTCCCCAATTTATTCCACGTTTATACGACCCTCCAAACGTCGTCGGCGCATTGAAGCCAGTTTACAAGTCCTAGCCGCGCGCTAACACCTTGAGAACGCATCACCGACAAGCACGCATCAACGCATCAGACGCGCTCATATCACCTCTGCCTCGTCACACTACGGGCATTCCCAGATTTCAGGGGGCCCGAAATGTCCCAGACAAGGCATCCGAAATGTAACATTTCGGGAGACTTTCCAGCAACTTTCCCGAGTGCTGAAATGCTCACTTTTCTGTCACTTTTGAGGCAATTTCTCTTGTCAGAAAAGGCTGTCTGTCACGCGCTTTGAAATAAACCTGAAACATCCCAGTTAGGCAGGCTGTACTGGTCATATGAGTGTCCCGGAAATTGCCGGGAAAGCCATCATTACTGATGGCTTTGTAATACATTTCAGGACATCAGGAACAAGCGCTTTCGGAGATTCGGAAATTTAACAGACCAAAAAACTGATGATAGTCCTGAAATACTCTTAAAAATGTCTCGAGCAGGTATAATTAAGGTGCTCATAAAATGTATGTAANAAATTACCTTTTATGGTTGCTGAAACTATAGTCTGCCATGTCCATT